AATTCAGGAAGGAAACAATCCGTGTATAAGCGGCAGTCAGCAGGAAGAGCGCGACGGTGGAGGCGGCTGTGTGTCCATCAGTGACTGAGCCAATGTCATCATCCCCCATGCAGACCCGTGACATCCTAGGGGCCCCTTTCACACCCAGGGGCGCAGTGGGGCGCTGTGTGCCAACTCGCTCAGTGTGACATGGTGGGAACGGGCCCTAAGTGTAAATGGGCCCCTGGTGGAGAACACATAAGTGTGAATCCTGTTTGAGTCCCCCCGCCCCTCCCCCCCACCAGTGGAGGTCCCGGAATAGGGAGCTGTCCATAGACTTTCAGTGGAATCCCCCCCGCGGGTTCCTCTCCATGTCTGTAATAGGTGGTGGTGGGGGGCCTCTCTGGGGGTCTCTGCAGGGGGAGCTGTCCATAGGCTTTCAGGGCAATAATCCCCCCCCGATCTGTAATAACGGGTGGGGGTTGGGGGGGTGGGGGTGGCTCTCTGGGGGTCTCTGCAGGGGGAGCTGTCCATAGGCTTTCAGGGCAATAATCCCCCCCCGATCTGTAATAACGGGTGGGGGTTGGGGGGGTGGGGGTGGCTCTCTGGGGGTCTCTGCAGGGGGAGCTGTCCATAGGCTTTCAGGGCAATAATCCCCCCCCGATCTGTAATAACGGGTGGGGGTTGGGGGGGTGGGGGTGGCTCTCTGGGGGTCTCTGCAGGGGGAGCTGTCCATAGGCTTTCAGGGCAATAATCCCCCCCCGATCTGTAATAACGGGTGGGGGTTGGGGGGGTGGGGGTGGCTCTCTGGGGGTCTCTGCAGGGGGAGCTGTCCATAGGCTTTCAGGGCAATAATCCCCCCCCGATCTGTAATAACGGGTGGGGGTTGGGGGGGTGGGGGTGGCTCTCTGGGGGTCTCTGCAGGGGGAGCTGTCCATAGGCTTTCAGGGCAATAATCCCCCCCCGATCTGTAATAACGGGTGGGGGTTGGGGGGGTGGGGGTGGCTCTCTGGGGGTCTCTGCAGGGGGAGCTGTCCATAGGCTTTCAGGGCAATAATCCCCCCCCGATCTGTAATAACGGGTGGGGGTTGGGGGGGTGGGGGTGGCTCTCTGGGGGTCTCTGCAGGGGGAGCTGTCCATAGGCTTTCAGGGCAATAATCCCCCCCCGATCTGTAATAACGGGTGGGGGTTGGGGGGGTGGGGGTGGCTCTCTGGGGGTCTCTGCAGGGGGAGCTGTCCATAGGCTTTCAGGGCAATAATCCCCCCCCGATCTGTAATAACGGGTGGGGGTTGGGGGGGTGGGGGTGGCTCTCTGGGGGTCTCTGCAGGGGGAGCTGTCCATAGGCTTTCAGGGCAATAATCCCCCCCCGATCTGTAATAACGGGTGGGGGTTGGGGGGGTGGGGGTGGCTCTCTGGGGGTCTCTGCAGGGGGAGCTGTCCATAGGCTTTCAGGGCAATAATCCCCCCCCGATCTGTAATAACGGGTGGGGGTTGGGGGGGTGGGGGTGGCTCTCTGGGGGTCTCTGCAGGGGGAGCTGTCCATAGGCTTTCAGGGCAATAATCCCCCCCCGATCTGTAATAACGGGTGGGGGTTGGGGGGGTGGGGGTGGCTCTCTGGGGGTCTCTGCAGGGGGAGCTGTCCATAGGCTTTCAGGGCAATAATCCCCCCCCGATCTGTAATAACGGGTGGGGGTTGGGGGGGTGGGGGTGGCTCTCTGGGGGTCTCTGCAGGGGGAGCTGTCCATAGGCTTTCAGGGCAATAATCCCCCCCCGATCTGTAATAACGGGTGGGGGTTGGGGGGGTGGGGGTGGCTCTCTGGGGGTCTCTGCAGGGGGAGCTGTCCATAGGCTTTCAGGGCAATAATCCCCCCCCGATCTGTAATAACGGGTGGGGGTTGGGGGGGTGGGGGTGGCTCTCTGGGGGTCTCTGCAGGGGGAGCTGTCCATAGGCTTTCAGGGCAATAATCCCCCCCCGATCTGTAATAACGGGTGGGGGTTGGGGGGGTGGGGGTGGCTCTCTGGGGGTCTCTGATACGTAGATCTCTGACGGCGACTTCCTCTTCTTGTCTTTCAGCCACAACGCCGTCCTGCGGTTGCGGTTCAATCACTTTGCCACGGAGTGCAGCTGGGACCACATGTACGTCTACGATGGAGACTCCATATACTCCCCGCTGATCGCAGTGCTCAGGTGAGCCGACATTTCTTTTCAGTTTTCTGTTCATGTTCCCAAGGTAAAAAAAGTGCACATTGTAAGTGTGACATGTTTCGGCCATTAGGGGCCGAAGGGAAAGGTGTCCCCATAGCGTACAGGAAGAGAAGCTCGGCATTGGGATAATGCTCATTCATAGTGCATTGGGCTGACCCAGGAAGTCGTACAGTGACAACAGTTCATGGGTTCTGTTTCCACTCGTGCTGTACAGCATGCCGGGGCCGTATGAATCACAAGAATGGCTGAACAGAATTAGCAATCTCGTCAGCCTACATTGTACATAATGGATGCTCGTTCATAGTGCAGGCTGAGAGTCGTACAACTACCGCCCTGCATAGTGGTGTCTCTGTACTGACTCTATAGCATGGCAGGGGTCTGCAAAACCACAAGACAGGCCGAGCAGAATCAAGGGCCTTTCAGCCTAGATCGTATATATTGAGGGCCGGTGCACCTAGGCGCGCAAAACACAGATTCGCATTGAAGTCAATGGAGGCTGCTCACACCTTTTGCGGGTTGTCTCGCGACCGAAATCGCCTGTTGCGAGAAAAGGTGCCGGAGCCATTGTGGCGCGCTTTGGGTCCTGTAGACATCTCTACGCATTGAAAAACGCGCGACGATCTCGCGGTTTACAATGAACAGTCGCGAGATCGAATACAAGCGACAACCGCCTGAAAACCGCTCGGCGTCTGAATCGCCTGGGTGTTACCCTAGTCTACATGCTCTTCCATAGCTTACTGGCCAGGCTTGAGGCTGCCCTGGACTCGGGGCCGAATTTCCCACACGGCCAACCAAGGCCTGGCCTCGGGGCAGCAGGGAGTAGAGGGGCGGCAGGGAGTAGAGGGGAGGCAGGGGGTAGAGGGGAGGCAGGGAGTAGAGGGGCGGCAGGAAGTAGAGGGGCGGCAGGAAGTAGAGGGGCGGCAGGGAGTAGAGGGGCGGCAGGGAGTAGAGGGGAGGCAGGGAGTAGAGGGG